TCAGCTGTCAATCACCGGGTCCCTTCCGGTGATTACTTGCCGGCACCCGGTGGTTGCTGAGTAATACTGGCAGTGGGGAGAGACCTGTATGTAAACAACACAGTTCTCTCCCCTTTCAGCTACAGCACACTGCTTTGTATGGCTCTGCACCGCAGAGCCATACAAAGCAGTGTGCTTACAGTGAACACACACAGCCCTATAGTAAAACAGCACACAGTTAACCCTTTGATCACCCCAGATGTTAACTCCTTCCTTCCCAGTGCCATTAGTACAGTGTCAGTGCTTTCTATTAGCACTGATCACTGTATTAGTGTCACTGGGGATGTCAGTGACACCAAGTCAGTTCCCTCCAGTGTCAGAATGCCCGCCGCAGTCCCGCTATAAGTCGTCATTACTAGGATGAAAAAATTCAGTATACTGTATATACCGCCATTTGTAGACGCTTTAACTTTCATGTAAACCAATGAATTTACACGTGTTGGGATTTTTTTTTCAGCAAAGACATGTAGCAGAATACATTTTGCCCTAAATTTATGTCGAAATTTGATTTTTAAAATTTTTTTTACTGGACATGTTTAATAGCAAAACATCAAAAATATAGTTTTCTTCTCAAAATTGTCAATATTTTTTGTTTATAGTGCAAAAAATAAATGCACAGGTGATCAAATACCACCAAAAGAAAGCACTATTTGTGGGAAAAAAAAGACATCAGTTTCATTTGGGTGCAGCTATTTGTGGGAAAAAAAGACATCAATTTCATTTGGGTGCAGCTATTTGTGGGAAAAAAAAGACATCAATTTCATTTTGGGGGCAGCGTTGCATGACTGTGCAATTGTCAGTTACAGTAATGCAGTGCTGTAACACAATAAATGGCCTGGTCAGGAAAGGGGGGGGGGGGGTAAATCCTCTGAAGGGCAAGTGGTTAAGTTCTATTACCCCTACTGCATTGAAAGATTACTGCGGCTGGGGTAAGAGGAGGGGAGAATGAAGGAAAGCAGGAGCTAGCCGCAAAAGGGACACATCAAGGAATTATTAAATAATGTCCCTTGTGCTGATTTTTTCTTTTTTCCTAGTTTTGACTAGGCGTAGGCTTTAACCCACAGGTGTCAAACTGGTGGCCCTCCAGCTGTTGCCAGACTACAAGTCCCATGGGGCATTGCAAGATTGACAGTTACACGCATGACTCACTTCTGCCTGGCAGTACTAGCGTTGTTGGTTCGAATCCCAGCCACGGCACCACCTGCCTGGAGTTTGCATGTTCTCCCTGTGCCTGCGTGGGTTTCCTCTGGATACTCCGGTTTCCTCCCACACTCCAAAGACATGCTGGTAGGTTAATTGGATCCTGTCTAAATTGTCCCTAGTATGTGTATGTATGAATGCGAGTTAGGGACCTTAGATTGTACACCCCTTAAGGGTTAGGGACCAGGGTCGGGCTGACCATTTGGAAACCCGGGCACTGCCCAAGGGCCCTGGTCAGTAGGGGGCCCCATCAGATGCCCCTGGTACCTTTTTCATAGGCTTTTTTGAGTTTGGGCAAGGACACAGGGGCCCCATGATCCCCTATTGCCCAGGGGCCCCATGAGTTGTTAGTCCGCCCCTGGCTGTGACATGCGCCTGATCCCCTCATTGATTTTGTATGAAGCCAGTGTGCTGCAGGTGTTGTGGTCCCGTTGGTTCAACGAGCAATTTCGATAGACTGTCAAACTCAACAAGCCGGGTTAAATTTGCTGTTGCTGCGAACCAAAGAATTGTGGACATGATGTGTGTACAATCCCCTCATCGTGCTAGGCTTGTGGTGGGTGGTCAGGGGGTCCAACTGCTTGTTTTCACTGTCTGTATGAACAAGGCCTAATTGTGAGGTTCTTTGAGGTGTCTATTGAGGAGAACAGGAAAATAATCTATTTAAGAGGGGGGGGGGGGGGGTCAAATGCCAATTCCTCAGAAATAGTAAACTTTAATAGTAAAAGGAAAAAAGAATTGGTAATGAACAAATAAATGCAACTACAGTCCAATGGCGTCCTATGTGACCAATCAGAAGAGAGCACAGAATCTCTGCTCACTAATTTGAGTCTCAAAATCATTTTTTAACGTTCTTTTGAAATTTGCAGAACAATTAAATCATGAAAGTGTTAGATTTGCAGCCAGCAAATAAAAAATACAACCTTTTTTGAGTTTGGGCAAGGACACAGGGGCCCCATGATCCCCTATTCCCCGGGGGCCCCATGAGTTGTCAGTCTGCCCCTGTTAGGGACTGATGTGAATGTAGAATATATATGTAAAGCACTGCGTAAATTGACAGCGCTATATAAGTACCTGAAATAAATAAATAATAAATAAATGACTCCCAAAGGCAGAGGCATGATGGGAATTGTAGTTCTGCAACAGCTGGATTTGCCAGTTTGATACCCTGGCTGAGTTTAACCCACCCCCCCTATATCCAAAGAGAAAATAGAAAAAAAAGTTGTGGCTGGAGATACAGGTAGAACATACAATGTTTTGAGTGGCAAGGGGCCATTGCATATGTACACAGACAAACATTTTCTTTGTAAAAAAGGGTAAATTTGATGCTTTTACATCATTTTTTTTTTTTGCGTTTCAGATTTCAAGCAAACTGTCTGCCCGTGCCCATGTCCTTTACTTGCAGTGTCCTGTAATCCTGTAATTTAGCTCTTTATGGTGAGTTGTGTTTTATTAGCACTGTTATTCTTCACATTTGTGATTTGCATTACTTTTCTAGGAACATAACTGTGTGTTCGTTTTCCATCGGTGAATGTAGTGTTTTATGCTAGCTCACTGCTTGCTTAGTACGTAGTGTTGCTGTTTTCTATGGTATGTTATGCACAGTAAACTAATTGCACTGGAGTAGTTGATGTGACTCAACAGCCGCTTATTATGTTTACTGAAGTGGTTGCCTTGTTTTGTAAGTCTAGAAGAAAATAGAAAAAGAAAATAGAGATGTGGGCAGGGGACAATCAAAATGATGGCGTCAAAGTAAATAAATAAATAAAGTAAGTAAATAAAAAAAAATCCATTTGACATATTATTTTTTGCCTGGTTTAGGAAATAAATAATGCCACTTTAAAGCGCCATTAAACCCAAAAAGCTTACCAATTCTTAGATATGATGGCTGCATTCATTGTCTTTTTTAGGCTTTCTTTGTTTTGTTTTCATCTGGTGAGCCAGCCAGCAATTCTGTTGTTTTTCAAAAGCACAAGCTCTCCAGCAGAATGTATCAGTTTACATGGAAGAGACAAACCACTTAACACTGACAGGGAGGGATGTTTAAAATTATAATTTTTTTTCATGTAAAACCTTTATCCTAAAAAAAACTGTTTGCTGTAACTGATTGTAACGTTTCAGCATGTTAGTGTATTAAAATATAATAGTCCATCTAATACTCCCCTCTCCCCAGACTGACAGTGCTGCAGTCCAAAGGTGCCCCCTATGCAGTCCAAAGTGTGCCTATGGGAAGGTTTCTCTTGACAACCGCCAAACCCAGACATCGGATTGCCAGACAGAGAAGCGTGATTTGTGGAGAACATGTCTCCACTGCTCTAGAGTCCAGTGGCGGAGTGCTTTACACCACTGCATCCGATGCTTTGCATTGCATTTGGTGATGTAAGGCTTGGATGCAGCTGCTCGGCCATGGAAACCCATTCCATGAAGCTCTCTATGCACTGTTGTTGTGCTAATCTGAAGGCCACACAAAGTTTGGATGTCTTTAGCTATTGACTCTGCAGATGACTTCTTCATGCGCTGACCCCGCTCTGTCATTTTACGTGGCCTACCACTTGGTGGTTGAGTTGCTGTTGTTCCCAGTTGCTTCCACTTTGTTATAATACCACTAACAGTTGACCGTGGAATATTTAGTAGCAAGGACATTTCATGGACTGGATGGACTTACTGCACACGTGGCAACCTATCACGGTACCACGCTTGAATTCATTGAGCTCCTAAGAGCGACCCATTTTTTCACAAATGTTTGTAGAAGCAGTCTGCATGCCTATGTGCTTGATTTTATACACCTGTGGCCATAAAGGGGATTGGAACACTTGAATACAATGATTTGGAAGGGTGTCCCCTTACTTTTGGCAATATAGTGTATATCAGGCCAGTGTTAAGGCATCAGACATCAGCTTAACCATGTACAAAGTTTTACTGACATCCAACAAGGCCATAGTTCAGGCTCAGAAAGATATAAAATATAGTAAATAAATTCAGAAACCTTGCAACCACATCCGATAAAGCCTCCACTTACATAATCCTTGATGTGATGGTGATGCTGTGGGATGGTTGGCATCTGGGTGTACCACGTGCTGTAGAAATTGTGCCCAATACAAACAAAAGAAATAAACATGAGAATGCCGAAACATTTGTAATTGCTACAGTTTTCTGGGCGAAGTGGTGCTAACAACTCTGCTATGGCACTCACCGTGCACCCATGAAATGTAAAAGTAATTTTCAACCTTTATATATTTTTTATGATTTATTTTATGATTTTTTTTTCTTATCTGTTTATTAGCTGTTCACAAATTGACTGCCCATGCTCCAGCAAACGGTTTCCTCTAAATCAATAGATTACAAAAAAATTCAGTTTAATATAATTACATTTGATTGAGGTCTAGTATTAGAAATAGACATACAATTATCCAGGATGCCGCCTATTTCATATAGCCGTAAAAATAACAGCATACAATAAAAGTCTTGTTATTTTGTGTGTATGTGTTTGGTTTCTAATTGTGCCAACTCTTTTCATTTTGTTGTATGACTCGTTAATAGAAATAATGTGTTATATCACAAATTACAATATAGACTATCTCCAAAACACAGACTATATCTCAATGCCCAACTCCAGGAATTTTAAAAAATCCACCCTTGCAGGGGGCACCCCTGCATTGCAAGGGTTAATTGTTCCTTATGTCTAGGAGATTGCAGAAGAAACTATTCAATTCACCTGATTCCTCTCTGTGGTTGGCTCTAGAGAGGTTAGGTTGAAATTGATTGATAGAGTACGGAGATGTGGGGTAGGGATGGGTTTTAATAGATGACAGGGCCCACAAACTAAACACTCTAAAGCAAAAGATAATGGGTACAACCAGGGGTGGACTGACAACTCATGGGGCCCCCGGGCAACAGGGGATCATGGGGCCCCTGTGTCCTTGCCCAAACTCAAAAAAGCCTATGAAAAAGGTACCAGGGGCATCTCATGGGGCCCCCTACTGACCCCGGCCCTCGGGCAGTGCCCGAGATTCCAAATGGTCAGTCCGCCCCTGGGTACAACTGATCACTCAGCACCACATTCCTAAAATCCACCCATGCCATATCATCCTGGTGCGTAAACACCGGGGGCGGCGGGTAGGAGTAGGGCTCAACATCTTAGCCCCTATATATTCCAAGCTGCTATGTGGAAAGTGCTGTGATACCTTTTTTGGTGATAGGAGGTCAATTACCCCCGGGCTACCATTCAGATGATCTGTTGTATGGATTAGTGGTGGTCTTTGTGTGCCCTTGGATGTGATTTTCAATGCCTTACTTGTGGATTTATCCTATGGGCTTTTTGAGGATTCACTTTGTAGGTGCCTGGCTCTGTGATTGAAGTAACCTGTTGTGGGCCTATGGCATTTCTGAAAGTGTTCTCTCTATTCAGGTACATACATATTAATGAAATATATGGGGCATCTTTGGTGTGTGCCCGATCTCTTGTATCAATTTCTTACATCAGCCCCGATACGCCCCACAATTTCCCTTTATTTACTTTTCCTTCATGAGTATAGATTTGCCATGTAATTGAGTTGAACAGTTGATACTTCTTTTTCCCACACATTTTGCCCCTGGGCATCCTGACTGAGTTTGCTGAATGTTTATCTCCACCTGTTCCACCCAGGCCTCTTCTTCTCTAGCACATGTAATGTCTTTGTGTCCCGAATATTAATTTCTTTGTTTGTTTAGTGATCTGACCCATATGGGACCTGAATTGATCTTATTATGCTTGTATGTACATATATTATGATACAGGGGTGGACTGACAACCCATGGGGCCCCCGGGCAATAGGGGATCATGGGGCCCCTGTGTCCTTGCCCAAACTCAAAAAAGCCTATGAAAAAAGGTACCAGGGGCATCTCACGGGGCCCCCGACTGACCCCGGGCCCTTTGGCAGTGCCCGAGTTTCCATATGGTCAGTCCGCCCCTGTTATGATACATTGGTTTGCTGTTTTCTATCAGATGCTCTCAGTGACCCCCTGAAGAAGCCCATTCTGCGAAATGCGCTGGGACTGCACCTTCCCTTTAGAGTTTTGTTCCGCCTGAATATATGTGATTATATTCACCCACACACATCTATTCTATATATATTTTAATCGAGGGAAGGTTGCATAGGGCTTGATTACTTATATGACAAACATTTCGCATTTTTATGGGGATGATACCCCATCTTTTTTAACATACTTTTAATAAAACTGATGATTTTTAAGCTGTTTTCAGTTTATTCTTTCCCTAGGATGGAGTTTACAGCACCTTAAAAGTCCTGTTTATTCTTTTTCACTGTTTTCCTAAACTAGATACTCGTATTACCAATTAACCAATTCAATACCGGGCAATTTTACACCTTCCTGCCCAGGCCAGTTTTCAGGTTTCAGCGCTCTCACATTTTGAATGACAATTGTGCGGTCATACAACATTGTAACCAAACTAAAATTTTATCATTATCTTCACTCAACTAGAGCTTTCTTTTAGTGGTATTTAATCGCTGCTGGGGTTTTTATTTTTTGCTAAATTAACAAAAAAAGACCAACAATTTTGAAAAAAACACACGTTTTCTTTGTTTCTGTTATCAAAGTTTGCAAATAAATAATGGTTCTTCATAAATTTAGGCCGAGATGTATTCTGCTACATGTCTTTGGTGAAAATAACCCAAATTAGGATGTATTTTTTAGTTTGTAGGAAAGTTATAGAGTTCAGAAACTATGGTATAGATCTGAATATTGATCAATCCTGAAGTACTGACAGCCAATCTAATTTCTTGAGGTCCAAGAATGTCAGAATAGTACAGATATCCCCCAAATGACCCCTTTTTGAAAAGTAGACAGTCCGACGTACTTCATAAAAGGCATGGCGAGTTTTTTGAAGTTGTATTTTTTTTTGTCATCATTTTTCGTAAAATGAAAAAATAAAAAAAATTAGTTTTACTAATTTTTTTTACATATTGTCACCAGTAAAGTACAGCGTCATCATATAACTGGCATGGTGGTGAACAGGGACACTGACTGATGACAGTATGAAAAAAAAATATTTTTAAATTTTTTTTTATTCTTTTTTATTTTTTATTAATTTTTTTTTCTTTTTTTTAAGATTTTTTTTTTCATATTTCACTATGACCAAAGTAGTATAATGTTACCATAGTAACATTGTACTACTTTGGGGAAGTGATCAGTATTTTTTTTTTTTTACACAATTTGCTTATAGCAAAGAATTACTTTGCTATAAGCAAGCATTTACCTGAATGACATCGATTCATTCAGAGTTTTTTTTTTGTGCTTAGCTGTGATTTGGCCACAGCTAATCACATTACATGTGCATGTGATTAGCTGTGACCATTTACAGCTAGACAGTAGTATACAATGGATGGTATGAATGAAGCCATCCATTGTATACAACTTTCATGTGACCTGCTGTGATTGGCCGTGCCCGAGGTAAATGGCCGGTGACAGATCGCGCCGTTGCGCGGCTCTGCAGGAGCGCGATCTGCGCATGTGTGGGAGGATGCCATATGGCGTCCACCCGGAACGCTGATTACATTTTCCGGCCGCCATTCGGCCATAGGGCGGGCAGCAAATGGTTAAGAATGTTTAGCTATAACACAATTAACTGACAAAAACTCTTTAGGAAAGAGTTGAACTCCTTCTACTTAGGTTGTATAAACAGAAAGATCTGTCACCAAACCATTTGATGAACCTTGTCCTATCTAACCAACTTCGTTGGTAGATAAATGCATGGCAGGTGCTCAGAAAGGTTTCTTCCCTTTACTCTGCAACAGCCTTTCTCAACCAGGGTGCCCAGACACCCTGGGGTGCCTTTAGGTTTCATCAGGGGTGCCTTGGCAAAATGTCTAAAAGTTGCCGTAAACTTGTATACAAGCCAGCAGGTGGAACAAGCCCGCCTTTTAGTTACACAAAGCCACAGGTTTTCATTGTGCACCATTACAACCTTCTAACCGCCAGCTTCCTGACAACCAATGACGTCATCAGTTGATAAGGAGGATGTCATCTGCCTGCACAGCATCCTAGTTTGACCCTCCCCTGCCCTCTCCATCAGTGCTGGGGTCACATTAGCTCAGTGATGGATAAAAACTGAGAGAGAAGAGAAACATTGGAATACTAGTCAGTACCAGTGTGCAAAAGTGTATTTGCTTCGGAAGAATAAATCACCTCTATCGTTGGGTGTCCTACATGTGTGGATGTTGCTGTGTTATATAAAACTATTAGAATAGTTTTTCACATTTTAGAATGGGGTGCCTCAAGACGGTCCATAATTTTAAAGGGTGCCTTGACTGAAAAAAGGTTGAGAAACATTGCTCTGGAGGAACAGGAAAAGGTTCCAAAACTGAATTGGAAACTCGCCCATTTTTAATATTTGCAAGAATTTGAAATACAATATAGAATTAGAGGCCTGATCTCAGTAATGTCTCTGGGTTCTGAGAACTATGCTAAATCTGCTGTCTCCCGTCATAATTACCTATTCTGCAGCAGGCGTGAGCATTCAACTAGTAGCAAATATAAGAAACCTGCTTTCCCCACTGCAGGTGGCGTTCAACTGCAGGAGGAGAGTAAGTTAGGAGGAACTTGTTCCTCTATGGTTTCCTGGGTTACGGGGAACATGTCGCCCCATGTGACTCTGGCAGCCATCTTGGGTCAGGCAGAGTCTATTTAAGACCCTGGCTCCTGGGTTTGGAGTGCATTTTTCAATTGAGCAACGCAGGGGCAGGTTACCCATTTGTCTAGGAAAGTGAATAGTGGTAGGGAATGGTTCTGGATGAGTAGGGACAGGATAGGGACACGCTTTCCTTTCCAGAAATCCTCCCAGTTAGGCACAGACTGGCCAGGCTGCATTCCACCCTCAGAGATAGATGCTGTTGGCACTCTGCTCCGTACTGCTGTTGTTCCCAGTTGGGTGTCCCCCTGATGGGCTGTTTGTATCTTTGGGCCTTGACTCCAATACAAGTTTTGTTATTTGAAATTGGACTCCCACACACAAGTCAACATCCTTCAAAGGATACAATTCGAAAAAGAGAAAGTACTATAAAAGTATTGACGATAGCACCTCCTGTAACAATGAGTCTGCCTCAGAACTAGTAAATTAAGATAGGATCTATGATATCATGCAGGCCAGAACTTTACTCTCTAAATTAATGAGCTACCAGCTGCACACAATTTTTTCATGAAGAGCATCTTAAGCAAACCTGTGATTTGCTATTCACTCATTCAGCTGAAAAACTATCTGTTAGTTTCTAAGGCTCCTTTCAGTCTAGCAACGGTGTTCACTGCCCCCCCCCCCCCCCCCCACCACCACCACCACAAAAATTGATCTGCAGTGCATCACTTCTCAGAGGACAATGTGTAGGCAGGTGCAGTCCGCTTCCTCTGCTGTAGGTGGAATTTGACAGGAGCAAGGCCACAGCTGGAGGGGAAGGCAAGAGGGACATATCTGTGGTTTCCTGGTCCCTGAGGTCAGTGTCTTGTGTGGCCACCCTACATTCAAATGACTCCTGGTGGCCATCTTTGGTCAGAAGAGCCTTTACAGGTCCCTGCCCCCAGGCTTTGGCTCGCTTTTGTGAAGTGGTCAGGGTAGGGCAAGATCACCCATCTGTCAGGGAAAGTGATTAGCGGCAGGGAAAGGTTTCTGATGAGTAGGGACAGGTTAGGGACATGCAACCCTGCATGGAAGGCTACCCTTTGGGACCAGCCAGGCCGTGTTCCGCCCTCTGAAGACAGACACTGTCGGTGCATCTTGTCCGCTACCACTCTGTACTGAACTCTGACTTACCTGATGCCGGTGCTCTCCCACTTGCAGTTGAGCATACTCTTCAATACAAGTTCTCGAGTTATCTGTAACAGGACTGTGTCATTACTGCCGCCACAGCACACTGCACCTGCAGGCTTTCTGGATAGCATCACCTCCTGATGCCTGTTTGTTTTGGTCTCTTTTTTTTTTACCCCTTGGCAGTATGTAAATATGTAGCCCCACTGGACTGGGCTTTTTTCTGAGGGGCCGCATATTTGCATATCTTTCTTTGTGTCGAAAGCATGCTGCATGGCACTCTCCCAGCACAGAGACCAGGGTCTCACTAAGAGCTCCTGATTCTGGGTCACCTGATTGTGTGATAGCCTCTGATTGGCTATCCCAGTGATCAGTCCCTGTGTTTTCTCTCTCTGAATGGAGAAGAGAAGTACCGCCCAGCACGCACACTCCGCTCCTCACAAGACCTCCTATTCTCTAGTTCCCTGGTCTCCTCCTCCCATGCCCGCCTCCAGGACTTCTCCAGGGTGTCACCCATCCTCTGGAACTCCCTGCCCCAACCCATCAGATTATCACCTACTCTCCTCTCCTTTAGGTGCACCCTGAAAACCCATCTCTTCAGGGAAGCCTACCCCACCCCCTGCTAACCTGCCGACCTCCTCCACTCTTCCTACCACTGCATCCCCCCACAGCTATCTCCTCCTGTGCCACCATCCCCTCCCTCCTAGATTGTAAGCTCCAAGGAGCAGGGCCCTCGATCCCCTCATGTTTTGCATTGTATTGGTATTGTTCTGTCACATGTTCTGTCCCCCTTTGTAATGTACAGCGCTGAGCGAACTATTGGCACTTTATAAATACTGTATAATAATAATAATAATACATTGTATCTCTCTCCTTGCAGAGAGAAAAAAAAAAGACAACAGTGTGTAAAAAAAAAAAAAAAAAAAAAAAAAATAAAATAAAATACAAAACTACAAAAAAATACCTAGTTCAGGATTTGATCTAGGTAAGTGCCAGGGTTAGCATTTTGGGTCAAGGTCAGGGTCAAAGGTCAGGGTCAGCATATTTTGGGGCAGGATTTTACAAATTAGTATCAGTGTCAATTAGTGTCAGTGTGTTTTAGGTAGGATAATAAAATAATAACAAGAATGTGCACTATTTTCTGGGCCATACTATGGGTACAAACAACTAACATACACATATGTGGTATCGTTGTGATTGTCAGGAGCGGGAACATTTTTTTGAGATTGTTCTTTGGTGGTAGGCAGGGGCAGACTGACAACTCATGGGGCCCCCGGGCAACAGGGGATCATGGGACCCCTGTGTCCTTGTCCAAACTCAAAAAAGCCTATGAAAAAGGTACCAGGGGCATCTCATGGGGCCCCCTACTGACCCCAGGCCCTCGGGCAGTGCTCGAGTTTCCAAATGGTCAGTCCGCCCCTGGTGGTAAGTTATGGTAGTAGCAAGAAATATACAACTACATTTTTCCAGTTTTCCTTTGATAATAAAAAAAGAAAACAAATCAGGAGGTATCCATTACTATTTACCACCCAATGAAAGCCCAATTTATACTGAAAAAATAAGGTATAATCCACCTGGAAGCGCAAAGTAGTGATGATATGTACGGTATTATTAACACATGTCAAAAATTGTGCTTAACATTAACATTTGTTTTATCCGTAAGCAGGACGGGGTTAAATTTCCATACAGCAATTTTGCATTACAGCTAAGCCAGACAAGCCAAGCATTTGACTCGCAGTTTCAACACTGCCCCATTCACTCACAGGGGGAATTTGAAAGGTGGTGCCACTAGTCAATCTCAGTATGTAGTATTAAAATGACTGCACCGTGATGCAAACTGGCAGTGTGTACTCATCCAAATAGCATATCCGTTTGTAAGTGGGCAGTAAAAATGCAGATCAGCCGCATGTTTTTCCTGCCCCCCTGGCTACCCATGTAAAAGGAGCCTTCCAACATTTATTAATGCTATAATATTGCACGCTTATCAAACTTTATACAAAATATGCTAGATAAGGGTTTTTCTGTATGTTTGCAAAAACTATGATCATATGAATACGTTAACACCTGTTTCCAAACTGTGCCATCATCAGACTGGTGACCCAGTTTTTTTTAAGGCATAAATAGCTGTGCCGCACTTAAAAACGAAAAAAAAAAAAATAGAAGACCTTCTGTTGGAGATGTGTCATAAAGCTAGGGTAGGATCTAACAGTTGCATTACGAGTGTAGCTGCCTTTTGTGTTTCCCTCAATAATGCATCTGATTTCCCTTGAAGAGGACCTGGATCGGTACTTTATACATTCTATAGAATATAATGACTCAAGATAATAAAAGATGTGTTTGGCAGCCACCAAGTGCACAGAGCGGGGAGGTGACCCAGATCTTTCCTATTCAAGATAAGGAGCCTAGACATATAGAAGAATATTAGGGGGCATATTCAGACAGTAGTACTGTCATCCTGGGGGGCGTTAGATGGGCTACAAGATTTAGATACACTAAGGCAGCCCATAGACCAGAGCTGTAACTAGAACCTTCAGGGCCCTGGTGCAAAAAAAAAATAGGGCCCCTCTGCCCTGAGCTTGGAGCCCTTCCCTCAGAGAATGGGCCCTTTACTCCAGGTGCAGGGCCTATTATTGTGGTCCCACAGCAGGACTCTTTCACAGTTTCTGCAGCAGACACCCTTCCTGCCCTTACATTAGAATCTCCCTTTTATCAGAGTTCCCAGTGTTCCCAGAGCCCCCTTTACATCAGAGTTCCCCTTTACAGTACATCAGAGTCTGCAGGGATTGCCTAACAGTGCACAAGGGAACTCTGCAAACCCTGATTTGAAGGGGAACTCTGCAGACTCTGATGTAAAGGGGAACTCTGCAGACCCTGATGTAAAGGGGAACTCTGCAGACCCTGATGTAAAGAGGAGCTCTGCAGACCCTGATGTAAAGGGGAACTCTGCAGACCCTGATGTAAAGGGGAGCTCTGCAGACCCTGATGTAAAGGGGAACTCTGCAGACCCTGATGTAAAGGGAAGCTCTGCAGACCCTGATGTAAAGGGGAACTCTGCAGACCCTGATGTAAAGGGGAATGCTGAGAACCCTGATGTAAAGGGGAACTCTGCAGACCCTGATGTAAAGGGGAGCTCTGCAGACCACTGATGTAAAGGGAGCACTGAGAACCCTGATGTAAGAGAGAATGTTGCAGACTTTGGTGTAAAGGGGAACCCTGGTGTAAGAGGTTCTTTGGTCACCAGAGCCCCCCCCCCCCCCTTACATCAGAGTCTGCAAACTTTCCCCTTGCACTGTAAGGGTTAACTCTGCTGACTCTGATGTATGGGGGAATTCTGGTAACTCTGATGTAAGGGGGGCTTTGGTGACCAGAGAACTCTTATATCAGAGTCCCCCTTTACACCAGAGTCTGCACAGTGAACACCCTAAGGAAAAGGGGTTCACTGATGTAAAATGGGATTGAGGACACTGATATAAGCGGGGACCTTTTATATTTTAGGGTCTCTCCTTACATCAGTGACCCTCCATAGAATGACTGACTGACTACCCCACAGTACTGAGCCTGAACCAAGCCGAGCTGTACATTCGAGGTGGATGGGGGAATTATAGCAGGAAGACTTCCCCACCATCAGAATTCACTGATCAGTACTGCTGGCTATAGCCGGCGGAGCTGATTGAGCGGCAAAAACCCAACACGACAGCAGTACATTCAATCAGTATATCCACTTCTGTACAACCAGCCTGCCCATACATTGAATGAAATCCATCTAGCCCCTGCTGAACTGGCTGAATTTCAATCCATGTATGGCCAGCTTAACAAATTGAAGTCAAACTCCAGTTCACACTGCAGCTACAAAAATATTGACAGCAACAGTTTTCCTTCTTTTAGGATAAAGGTTTTACATGATTAAATAAAGGCTGATCATTGTAAACACCCCAGTAAATGGTTTGTCTCATCCCTGTAACTGTTACATTTGCAGGAGAGCTTGTTCTGTTGAAAAATAACAGACTCGCTGGTCAGATCACCAGGGGCAAATAAAGAAAGAAAGCCCTTAAAAGGAAACAAATGCAGCCACCATGTCTAAGAATTGGTAAGCTGAAATAAAACAAATGTTTGCCTTTGGGTTTAATAAGGCTTTAAGTAGCTTTACTAACGTTTTAAAGCTGGTTATCTGTCATGATGAAAATACAACAATGTTGCGTTATAGAAATAGAGATTAAAATACATTCTACATAACATTGATCTATAGACATTGATAGGTAAAGTTTGCTCAGTGAAGTGCTTTTGATGTGTCAGAAGGGTGCATTGTATTTTTTTCAGTTAGCACTCTGACAATATCATTGGCTTATTTTATCACATAAACGCATATGTTCAGGGGCAGACTGACAACTCATGGGGCCCCCGGGCAATAGGGGATCATGGGGCCCCTGTGTCCTTGCCCAAACTCAAAAAAGCCTATGAAAAAGGTACCAGGGGCATCTCATGGGGCCCCCTACTGTCCCTGGGCCCTCGGGCAGTGCCCGAGTTTCCAAATGGTCAGTCCGCCCCTGCATATGTCAGATATCAGATCACCCAATAATAATCCACAGATTTCAATGTCTGGCTTGCGATAAACTTGAAATCACATAAGCTGATGTGGGTGTCTGGACTTTGCTCTTTTTTGCTGAATTGCCTTTAGCTCACCTGAAAATAGGATTTATGTTTGCAACACGCTGCAACTTGTCTGAAATTGGCTGCAACGTGTGGTTTCAGTACAGGAGTATCGTATATAGCAGCACACCAGTTCTTAAATACAGTGGCTTCATTAGTTTTCTTTTTTTTTTAGCCTTATCCTTTATTTTTTTCTGGGGATCTGGCAAGTAAGTCTGTTAAGTTTTTAAAAACATAAACATCCATACTCAGCTGAATGCTGCAGCATCGGGGTGTTGCTCCAGCTGTCCCACGTGGGATTTAATATCGTGAACTGAGTGATCACATGACTACTGATCACTCAGTTCTTGGTCTGTTCTAAGCAGAGAGAAGTGATTGTCAGTCCCTGCTCTCTGCTCTGCTCTTCCAGGGCACTGGAGCACTAGGTTGGTGTGGTTGCAGTTGGCTCTGGCTCTGAGCCACGTGCTGAGAGGCAGAGCCAGCTGTCAATCTGGTACCTGGGTGGATCCTGTCAATGTTATTGGGATACTTCCAGAGGCTGAAGTGGCAATTGTCCATTATCATCTGACACTGGGTCACAAGAGAAGAAAAGTAAGTGCACTCCTGTGACTCACAAGAGAAGTATGGCCAAAAAAGCTTTTGTTATACTTGTCTTTTAACAGACCAAGCTGTCCAGGAACAGAGGCAGTTAGAGGGTTGAAGCAAACCACTTTTATTTATTTATGTATAACTTTTATCCCAAAAGAAAAACACATGCTGCTGTAAGTGCTTAAGTTAGTTAAATATTAGCTAGAGTTCTGCTTTAATTTGTTGTGAAGTCTATTTAAATCTACTAAGTCCAGTGTGTGTGACCCCTTCTGTGGTGCCTAGCGTAGCCCAGAAGTACCCACCCCGGGGTAGGCCTCCGATGTGACCCACACTTGGTGCCCAATGAGGACAACATGGAGGAAGTCCCACCTTCCTACTTACCTACCCTACATTCCCCTAACCAACATGTTGTTCAAGGGTGTCTCCATTGCTCCTCGACAGACAGAGTAGCCACCCAAAGACAGTTAATAGTCAAAAAACTTGAAAGGGAAGAAAAGCCTAAAAACAGAAAACTAATGCAGCCAATGCTTCCAGTGATTGGTAAGCTACAACAATATTCAAACTTTTTCTTTCAGTTTAGATATGCTTTAAGGAGCATAGCCCTGAATTCTAAAGCTTGTTGCAAAACATCAGTGTAGTATTAGGTGCAGGGGCGGACTGACAACTCATGAGGCCCCCGGGCAATAGGGGATCATGGGGCCCCTGGGTCCTTGCCCAAACTCAAAAAAGCCTATGAAAAAGGTACCAGGGGCATCTTATGGGGCCCCCTACTGACCCTGGGCCCTCAGGCAGTGCCCGAGTTTCCAAATGGTCAGTCCGCCCCTGATTAGGTGACGTCTTAAAACCCCATTTAACTAAGAAAAATGTTAGTGTGGTAATTGTAAACAGGATTCCATAGGATGGTCTTTTTTTTTTCTAGGGCACAAGAAAGAGAAATGATAGTGTGCATAAAGTGAGCTACAAATACATTTATTAAAGCAGTTTAGAGATAATTTACAATTATAAATCATATCCTCTCTTAGCACAGCATCAGTAAAGAGAAGGTATAGTGATGTGTATGTTTGATTTGTTTGTTTGATTTTTTAATTTATTCTGACTTGGACTAAAACTACAAAAAGTATTTTTATTTAGCATCCATTGAGGGACACAGGAATTCTGAAACAGTTGGGGTATACTGCCACCTACAAGAGGTTGGGACACTGGCAGATGAAAGCTTTAAAGGCCCCAGGTTTTCTCTAGTGTTCGAGGAACTTGGATAACTTTTACTACTGAAAAAAAGAATCATATTTTTGGTAGCCTTTTTAATTTGTAATATTTGTTTGTTATCGACTTAAAGCAGAACTTTCATGTCCTTGTTACTTTTTCCTGCCTGCACTGAATATGTCATGCATATTCTGGTTCGCTCAGTAGTTGCTCTGAAATAGCCTATTCATTTTCAAATCAAACCATTAATTCTCTTTGTAAGACTGTTTGTAAGATCAGTGACTACTATGCCTCCTATTCCCCCAGCCACTGGTCTTGGCACATCCCTCCTGTTGTTATTTCTCCAGAAAGAAGTGATGTACCCACCCACATTCATTACAATTCCCTGTTGTTGATGGGAATTGTAGTTTCCTTTTACTGCAGAGAGGAGAGGATATGATGTAATCCCGGCTGTTACACCTCCTCCTTGGCAGAGAAGATGCTGTCATCTTTTGAATTACAGAGATGAGGTGCATGAAAATTCAATTAGACTTTTGCATAGTGTTTGCATAAGTGTTTTGCATAGGGGGGTGTACTAATGGGTTATTTTCTTGCCTATCCTGGAACTTTTTTTTAAATCAAGATTCATTCTTTCTCTGTCTCTCTCTCTCAATCTCTCTCTCCAGTGGCAGCATGCTTTACACCACGGCATCCAACGCTTTGCATTGCACTTGGTGATGTAAGGCTTGGATGCAGCTGCTCGGCCATGGAAACCCATTCCATGAAGCTCTCTACGTACTGTTGTTGTGCTAATTGAAGGCCACATGAAGTTTGGAGGTCTTTAGCTATTGACTCTGCAGGCAGTTGGCGACTTCTACACACTGTGCTCTTCAGCATGTGCTGACCCCGCTCTGTCATTTTTACGTGGCCTACCAATTCGTGGCTGAGTTTCTGTTGTTCCCAGTTGCTTCCACTTTGTTATAATACCACTAACAGTTGACCGTACAATATTTAGTAGCCAGGAAATTTCATGAATGGACTTATTGCACAGGTGGCAACCTATTACGGTACCACGCTTGAATTCACTGAGCTTGAGATAATTCACAAATGTTTGTAGAAACAGTCTGCATGCCTAGGTGCTTGATTGTATACACCTGTGGCCATGGAGGTGATTGGAACACCTGAATCCAATGATTTGGAGGGGTGGCCCAATACTTTTGGCAATATAATGTATGTATATATATATATATATATATATATATATATTTACATTTCAGTGCCTTAATTCCAGATGTCTGAACTGCTGCTTGAGCTAGTCTCTATATAGCAACTACTAGTTCATGATATCCACAACAAGAGCTTTAGAAACTGTACCTGGACCCAACAGGACTTGAGGATAGATGAGTTAGGGTATGGCTTCCACAGCTGTTGTGACCTTTTGGCACTGAGCTCTGCATTGTGGCATTTTCCAGACCTTTGTGTACCTTGGCAGTTAGCAGATCACTTTTCAAGCCATGGCACAGCCTTGTCTCTGAAAGCTCCCTTAGTAAGGTGGATTGGGCTTAAGCACTAGGAGTTACCTCACAGTTGGTACCTTTTGGGCTGTTAGTTTATGCTGCTAGGTCCCCAGATAGTTTGCCACCTTGGCATTTGAGTGTTCTGGTCACTCCCCGTAGCCTACACCCTGAGACCTCTGCTTCTTATCCTTGTAGGAAATATTCTTGGGACTGGTATCCTATTTGGGCTTGCTCTTCCTATAGGGATGTCCTTACCCTTCCTATACTGCGAAAAAAAAATTAAAGGAACATTTTGAAAACACATCAGATCTCAATGGGGAAAAATATCATACTGGATATCTATACTGATCTGGACTGGGTAATGTGTTAGGAACTTAAGGATGCCCCATCGTTTGATGGAAAGGAAAATTATCAACCTACAGAGGATTGAATTCAAAGACACCCCAAAAAAACAAAAGTGAAAAAATTATGCAGCAGGCTAGTCCATTTTGGTGACATTTCATTGCAGCACCTCAAAATGGTACAAAATGATAGTTTGTATGGCTCCCAAGTGCTTGTATGCATTCCTGACAAAGTTGGGGCAAGCTTCTAAAGAGACGACGGATATTGTCCTGGGGTATTTTCTCCCAGACCTGGACCAAGGCATTACTGAGCTCCTGGAGAGTCTGATGTGCAAACTGGTGGCATCAGATGTTCTGAAACATGATATCCCAGAGGTGTTCTATTGGATTTAGATCAGGCGAGTGTCGGGGCCATTCAATGGTATCAATTCCTTCATCCTTCAGTAACTGCCTATATAATTTCACCACATGAGGCCGGGCAGTGTCATGCACCAGGAGGAACCCAGGACCCACTGCACCAGTGTAGGGTCTGACAGTGGGTCCAAGGATTTCATTGCGATACCTAATGGTAGTCAGGGTGCCATTGTCTAGCCTGTAGAGGTCAGTGTGTCCCTCCATGAATATGCCTCCCCAGACCATCACTGACCCACCACCAAAACGGTCATGCTGAGCAATGTTACAGGCAGCATAATATTCTCTGTGGATTCTCCAGACCTTTTCACGTCTGTCACATGTGCTCAGGGTGAACCTGCTCTCATCTGTGAAAAGCCCAGGGCACCAGTGGTGGACCTGCCAATTCTAATGTTCAATGGCAAATGCCAATCAAGCTCTATGGTGCCAGGCAGTGAGCACAGGACCCACTAGAGGATGTCGGGCCCTCTTCATGAAGTCTGTTTCTGATTATTTGGTCAGAGACATTCACACCAGTGGCCTGCTGGAGATCATTTTGTAGGGCTCTGGCAGTGCTCATCCTGTTCCTCCTTGCACAAAGGAGCAGATACTGGTCCTGATGATGGGTTAAGGACCTTCTACAGCCCTGTCCAGCTCTCCTATAGTAACTGCCTGTCTCCTGGAATCTCCTCCATGCTCTTGAGACCGTGCTAGAAGACACAGCAAGCCTTCTGGCAATGCCATGGATTGATGTGTCATCCTGGAGGAGTTGGATTGCCTGTGCATCCTCTGTAGGGTCCAGGTATTGCCTCATGCTACCAGTAGTGACACTGACCCTAGCCAAATTCAAAACTAGTGAAAAACAGTCAGAAAAGATGAGCAGGGAA